GTATCAAAAAACCTTAAGCATGTAAATTTCGTTTTTCTGGGTCAATGCTAAATTTGGTATTTAGTTACAGTGATTTACTGTACCGTACTACAATACGAGAGTGTTAAAACGGATTAAGTCCTCTCCGAATTTGTGTTGTATGCGGTGATAGAGAAAATCTTAACTATAATCCACACTATTTTATGATAAAGTTACATCATTTTATTTGTTGATATTTTTTAAAACCAAATATTAAGATGTAACTTTTGTACATAACTAAATATAATGATGAAAAAAATTATTATATATATCTTTTTCCCTATTTCCTTCTATTTTGTATTGAATCTCTGATCCTAGGACAGGGAAAAGAGGAAAGAATTTGACGGCCAGTAACATCTCCTAATTCAATGTGATATAGAAAAATGCAATAATTTCATATATATACAAAAACCTAAAACGAAATAAAATCAACAAAGTTGGAAAAGAACCCTTGAAAGTAAAAACGAAATAAAGCCAGCCACTTGAAAGAACCCTACTTAGAGGTTATAAACCCCAACAAAGTTTCCTTTTCAGCTCTCTCCATGCAATTTCGTAGGTGACTCAAGTTCCTCGAGTGAATTCAATATTTTCTCTAGGGTTTTTATTTAATTTCAGTTAAAAGTTAAAAGCAACATTGAGATCACTTGAGCTCGAAGCATATATTGTCTTCTTGTCGTTCCGAAGATGCCAACAAAAACAGAGTTCGTGAAGTTCTTGGATAAAGGTAGTTATGGATCAGTCGATCTCGTCAAATACATAAAAAGCGACGGCTCATCACCGCTTTACGCCGCGGTGAAAACCTCCGAGTTCGAAGACTACGACATTCTCCAAAGGGAAATTGAGATTCTATCACTATTCAAAGGATGTAGTAGAATCGTACAATGCTATGGGAACTATGATTTGGAAGAGGATTTCGACCGCGACGGATTGAGAATCTACAAGATGGTTATGGAGTATGCACCTGCCGGGAGTTTAGACACTTTCATGGACAATTACAAAGATAGAAAATTGCCTGAAACGATGATTATAGACTTCACTCGTATGATTTTACAAGGATTGGTCTCTATTCATGATAGCTACGGTTATGTTCATTGCGATATCAAACCCGGAAATATCCTAGTCTTCCCGTGTGGACAGTCTTACGAGTTGAAGCTTGCGGATTTCGGGTCTTCGACAATAGTCGGAGACATTGCTACTACATGGGAGGAACTCGATGGTCCGTATGCTGGAACGGCTGTTTACATGTCGCCAGAATCAGTCAAGAACGGTGTGGCCGAGAAAGCCCTAGATTTGTGGTCGTTAGGGTGTGTAGTGTTGGAGATGTTTACCGGTGAAACACCATGGTCGGAAGTTGACGATGACGATCTTGACGATGTTTTGTTGGGTGGCAAAACGATTGAGATTCCAGAGAGTGTGCCGTGTTACGCAAGGGAGTTTCTAAAAAAGTGTTTCTCAAGAATCCCTGAAGATAGAGGAAGTGCTTCGAAATTACTATTACATCGGTTCTTGAGTGAAGAAGACATATATGGTCTCCGTCATCTCTTTTCCGCCGCGGTTGAAGTTGAAGACCGAACGAGAAGGTACGAAGAAATCGATAAAGCAATCGCTGAAGTTGAAGATTATTTCCTTTCGTTACTTCGTTGAGGGCAATAGATCAAGTCACATGTCGATACCAAAATGTTGATTTCATTTGCTCTCAATGTGTGTTTACGAGATTTAACTATTAATTAAAACACTATTTTCTTCAAGATTTAATTTCGTTGAGGCGGGCGATTTAATTTCGAACCTTTTAACAGAAACAGAGCTTTTCTTATTTACTAAAAGACTCTTTGAAACAGAGCTTCTTGTTATTATTTACATACAACCGAAACAACAAATAAAACCCAAAACATAACTTATTCCATAAGTTCTCAACACGATGTTTCCATGTTCCTATCTTATATAATCAGTACTAGCTCCCTGCTCTCGTGTCCTCTCGGGCGTGTCTCCGATAACTATGTTCTTAGTCGTCTGCGCAATCTCAGCTATAGTCTCGCCGATTGCCCCAAGCACTCCAACCCCTTCTTCTTCGACATATCTTTCGTTCCTTCTTCCTCCTCCGGAGGATAACTCCGCCTCTCCGACATCTGTCCTCGCTTCTCCGGCCATTCCTTTTGCTCCGTAACCGTAGACATCTTTCTCACTCCCTCCGCACCCTTCTCCAACGTCTCTCCTCGCTTCTCCGGCAATTCCTTTTGTCGACCTGTACCCTCTTTCTTCTCCGTACTCCTCTCCATAGCCTCTCCTTTGTTCTGTGTCAAACCCTGGTCGCTTCTCTTCCTCACCTCCCTCAAAACAAATCCAAAACATACAGTTTCTTGAGCAACACGTAACAACATTATGATACTCAAAACGAGTTAAAACAAGATCTAGCCATCTTTGCTTTAGGTTGTGCAATACCTGGTGCATTTCTTGGTCTTTGTGTTGAGCTTCCTCTTTCTTCCTCGCTGTATACCCAACCACCGTATCAGCAGCCGCCGCGGCTTTCTCCTTAGTCAAATCAACCGCCTTAGATCCCACTTCAGCCGCCTTATGCCCTGCGTACCCGACCGTACCCGCAACCGCTTTCGTCCCTTGAACCACCTTCTCAGTCGTGAAATGCGCCGCTGTCCACCCAACTGCAGTCGCTTTCTCAGCGGCCACTCCGGCGTAATGTGCTGCTCCTTTTCCTCCTTCCACTATAGTTTCTTTTGCATACTCAGCCGCTTCCTTGCTCATTTCCACAGCTTCACCGGCTTTCTGAACGGTGTAGTCTTTCGCTTTTCCAGTCACTGAAACCGTCTGTTCTTTCGCCACTTGTCCTTTCTCAGCAGCAATGTTTCCAGCTTCTTTACCTTTCTCCGATACATACTGTGAAGCTCTCTGAGCTTTCTCAGCCGCAATGTCTTTCGCTTCAACAGCTTTCTGTGAAGCATAATCTTTCGCCCTCGCAGCCTGTTCAGCCGCCGTGTTCCCTGTTTCCTTTCCTTTCTCCGTCACATACTCTGAAGCTCTCTGAGCTTTTTCAGCCGCAATGTCTTTCGCTTCAACAGCTTTCTGTAAAGCATAATCTTTCGCTCTCGCAGCCTGTTCAGCCGCCGTGTTCCCTGTTTCCTTTCCTTTCTCCGTCACATACTCACTCGCTCTCCGAGCTTTCTCCGCCGCAGTGTCTTTAGCTCTCCCAGTTTGTTCAGCTGTCACATTCCCCGGTTCTTTCGCTTTCTCCGCCGCATACTCAGAAGGTCTCCGAGCTTTCTCTGCCGCTGTATCTTTAGCTTCACTAGCTTTCTCCATAGTGTAATCCTTAGCTCTCCCTTCCTGCTCCTTTGTCTCTTGTCCTTTCTGAGCCGCCACGCGTCCAGTTTCCCTTCCCTTCTCCGTCACGTAATCGGAAGCTCTCTGAGTACCTTGTCCAACACTTTCCTTAGCTTGCTTTCCTTTATCAGTTGCACTCCGACCACCACCACCAAGTGATTCTTGACCTTGTCTTTCTCTCATCTCACCACCTCCTGCAGCTAAAATCTTAGCATGTTCTGCTTTCTCCCCACGAAAACCATGTGAACCACTTTCTCTCTCTTTTCCCGACAATTCTTCTCCTAATTTGCCACGAGCTTCTTGTCCTAAGACAGGAGCAGCTCCTATTCGACCACCACCACCCGACTCCTGACCATGTCCTTCTTTCTCAGCCCCAACATGAGTAACATGAACACCACTTCCCCGCCCTTTTCCTTCTATATCTTGTCCTCCTCCACCACGAGCTTCTTGACCACCATGGCTCAAGCTCTCCTTAGCTTTGTTATACCGTTCTTCAGCTGCTCGTATTGTATCCATTGATTTCTGTTGAGCATTGGCTCTATAACGATGAATATCCTCTAGAGACGCCTTCTCTTGCCCCTCCTTCTTCTCCGTTGTTCCTTCGCTGGTCGTAACGAATTTCCCGACAGAGTGAGGCATATGAGTCCTCTTCATCTTCGTCGTATCTCCTTCGTCGGAAAGCGACACGAACGGAGTCCCACCGCCACTTTCTCCTTCTTTGCTTTTCTCAGCGATGGACTCGAAATGACTCGTCATCTTCGGGACTCTGTCTTTCTCAACTTCAACTTCTCTCTCCTTCACAACATTCTCTCTTCTTGCTTGCTCTGACGCCATTGTTTTAACTTCCACGAACACAAACTGTTCAATATTTTCAAGATTTGTTGTAATTTGGATG